TACTCGGTTGTTATCGGACACTCGGTTGATAACAATTTTTGACAGGTTAGTAAATTATTTTAAATAAACTGTGTTAAAATAGAAACAGAGAATAGTCATTGTGCTTTTTGTAAACAGAAATGAATACGGATACAAAATAAAGCCTCGATACGTACTAGTATAGCATTTGTTAGCCTTTGGAAGGCTTTTAAAGTCAAATTTGTTATATTTTGCAAGTTTTTCTCCAATTGTCATTGCTGTAAATAGCCTTTTTTCTTCAAAATCCTTGTTTACCTTGCGTTAATGATTGTCCACAAGAAGACTTCCTCAGAATCTTGCAAATATGTAATTAAAGGGAAAAAATTGCCGAGTTTAACTTTCAGTATGTTATCGGAAATACGGTTGAATAATGCACTTTGTTATCGGATAACTCGGTTTTGGTTATCGGAAACAAAGGTTGTCATAAATTAAGGAAAAACGCAAGGAAACGACAGAAATCCGTAAGAAATCTAAATATTTAAAATGGCTGGCTCGAAATTCTAATTTTTGGCTATAATATGCCTCTTTAAGAATATGTAACTTTTAAAAATTGTGTTTTTTGGCATTTCTCACTGAAATCTGCATTGACCTGTTTGAAAATATGGTACAAGTTTTAAATTTCATTACAAGGTACCGAGGTCCCCTGTGTGGCGCAGTGGTTAGAGTGTCTTCTCTAGAGTCGCCAAGTAAGGAGTCGATCCCACAGTGGGACGTCGCAGTAGGTGCTAGCACAAAAGAGATCCCTGACTGCTCAATGGCCCTATAGGTGCTGAGTATATGACAAATTTTGAAGCTCTCCGCCAGCAAGTGATGGCGTCTCCAAACGTAGGAGGGCGTTAAACAACATACAATCAAGTTGCTGAACGCATGGCGAAGAAACAGTTGCTACCCATTTTGATCGACTTAGGTCAGTCGCCGCTGAGTTTCAAACTCGCAACCTTTCGAACACAAATACATTTATCAGTTTGTACATACAAAACAATTTAAACTCAAGGGTGGTCAGGTGAATTTCCAAAACGGTAGTTAGACCAAAATATATGACATAAAATTCAAAGTTTTTGACTTTAAATTTCTTTTTTTTTAAATCGTAAATACGGATCTCTAAAACATCGGAGGTTGTTAAATCCTGCAGTGTGCTCAAATTCAATGTGTTGCTTGCGCTAATGCTCAGATGGAGGGGGGGGGGCTGACATGGATTTTGCATTGCTATGGGGTGTTTATACTGAAGCAAAAAATCTCTAAACACCCCCCCCCATTGTAATTGAAAACGCAAATACATTTTTTTTTCTGAACCATGCACGCTTTTTGTTAAATGATAGTCTCTTTAATCTACTACATGTACATATCCATATTACATTGTATAAAAAAGAATTAAGAATTATTATTTTTCTTCAATGTTGACAGCTGTCTGATTGACACAAGATCACATGATCAAGTATTTAAAAAGTCCTATAAACTGGGTGATTCTATTTTAAGCTTTTAAAAATATGTTAACGTTCTTCTGCGGAGCAACATAAGTCCTGACGTCACATCCACATGAACCACAGGCACTTGTTTCATATACAGGGCATCCCTTCTTAAGCCATACCTGCTATATATGTGTAACTGTGACGTGATAATACGATAACATTACTGGACAAAAAAAATAATTCCCCAGGGATCATGGGGGAAATTGAACTTGTTTTTTTTTTCTCAGAATAACGTAATACATGTAAACTATATTGGAAGACTGAAGCAAAATTGTTATCATTAATTAAACATGATAATTTACGTTTGAAACTGCCTGAAGCAGTTTCCAAGAGGTTATCTTGAATGGAAAACAAGAGAAATGGTTGAGCAGATGAGTAGTCCTATAATAAATTTATAATTATTCATGAGTAGTTCTATAATAAATTTATAATTATTAATCTTATTTATATACATTTATATCAAAACAAACTTTTACGTTTGCTATTTTCAAGGATTGGCAGATTATAATGGAATTTTCCAATCTATTTATGAAGCTAAAGGAAACTTTTTAACCTGAGTTTCCGATAACATACACCCGTCAAAAACCGAAGTATCCGGCAACATCAACCGAGTTGACGATAACATGTTTTCAACTAACGAGACATTTTAAAAGACTGTTTACTAACCTTTAAGGATTTTTAATCTCAGGTTGCTGATCTAAAGGTATCTAATTGTCCATAGAATAAATAGATCAGTTTGTTTAATAGAATAAACTAATTTTGAACTCTACAGAAGTTAAAATGTGATGACATAGTCCGAAATTTTTGTAAAATATCATTTGAAAGAGCTGTAGATCTTTTGAAAGAGAGTGATTTGGTTTGTGCTTTGTGCTGCTGAAAGTATCATCAATTATCTGTCATAGATCACAAACTTTATTTGCTGAAATACAAATTTATCGTTTATATATGAAATTTAAAATTACCCACATTTTCTAAACATTGCTTTTCTTGCACCGAGTGTCCGATAACAACCGAGTTGCCGATAACGCGTTGAGTAGTGTGGTAACTGTATAATTAAAATACAATTAAAATTTCAGTGTTCGGTGCCGTGAAATCATAAGCATGAAGTAAGAATGATTTTTTGAAACCCTTGCCTTTCAAAATTAAAAAGACAAATTAAGGTGGCTCATTACGTCCACAGTTTATTTTAGATTTCAATACAGCACCACTTATAATGTTGATGTCAAATATCCAGATGGGGGTATTGATATCATAAATATTTTTTATAGAATTTTTTAGTTTTTGTTTATTTTAGTTAAATGTTTTATTTCAGGTTTATTATTCACAGAATTTCAGAACTTTCAGTGTCAAATGATGGGCATCTTCTTAAGACAAGTACACACAGTGAAAATACCTCATAATACCTGATAATAATTTAATTAGAAAAAATAATTTTCTCCCAGAAAACAATTAATGTCATTATCTTTTTAATCTATGCATAAAACATTTTAAAAATGTGTTCTGAAGAGACAAGGGATGTATTTCAATGACTTACTTGTGTCAAATTGAATGAAGAAAGTTTAAACGAAATGAAAAATCCAATTTAAAAAATATTTGGTATAAAAAGTTCACTTTCAAGAGTTATCTTTCCTAATTAGCCAAGACTCAAAACACTATGGAACGTTTGACATTACATCTAAAATTCAGAATAAAGCTTTAAATTGCCAGAGTATACATTTAAATCAATAAAACAAATATATAAATTAACACCAACACAGTAAATAGCGCAATCAAATAAAATTTTAAAACAAGGTTGTAGATTTTAACTCGAATTTCCTCCATACATACATGTCTGTGATTGATAGAGTTCACTGCATGCATATCTATGAAATTGACATTACTTGTTTGGCGAAGATTTGACAGTTGCTTTCTTTTGTTTCTGCCTAAAAGCAATTCTTCTTGGTTTATGCATAATGAATCCGCTACTTTGTTTTCACTGTTTACAACACCGCATGTTTCATCTATTTTTAAAGCGTTTTAAAGGCCAGGGTCATATTATAGTGGTACCTATACAACTCGTCCCCTGAGCAAACCGGTCGACACAAAGGAGGTTTATTTTTTTGTGTAGTACGTCATCAAAAAGTGGTGTAATGAGCCTCCTTAAGTTAAAGAACCATCCGGAGCACTTTTGCAGTGATACAAAGGTCAAGGCCGAGTGGACTGGAATTCATCATTCATTTTAATTGCAAACATTACATATGCTCAATATATGGACTAACTTCTTAAATGCCTTGATCAAGTTAAAAGGTCATGAGGGTAGTAGCCATGGAAACAATGATCCACCTCAAACCGCTGTAAAGAAGATAGTTGGAATATTTCTGCTTGTAATACGTACTACCAGATGTAAAAGAGTTTTTTTTTTGCATTGATCTGGTATCGATGCCTTCTAGATCCAGACAAAAGAAAAGTTAAAAGGTCATGAGAGTAGTAGCCATGGAAACCATGAACAGAGAAATAAGACAACAATACTAGTACTAGTATAAGCAAAATATCTAATACACACCTCAACTAGATGCAGAACTATAGCATTCTCGTTTTATCATTTTTGACTATAACTAGAACAGATCCCGTAATGCAAATATGGTGCAATTTACCGTGCATGATTTTCTGTTCTGGTTGACGAGAATTTCTCCACTTATCAGCAATTGTTTATCAACTACCTTTCAATCCCTAATTCTGAATTTTTTTTTACCATGAATTCGTATATTTTATTCACCTCCTAACCGTTTACAGTCATCTCTAGAGACTAATGAACTCGATCGCTTGTTTTGGAATTATCTGCCACCCGATATCGAAAAAAAATTAAAACAAATGGGTTTATTTGTCTGTAGAAATGACTATTAAGCTCTATGAGGTGAATACAACCAACCGTTTGGTAAAAATTATGTCCAGAATTAGGGAGTAAAATGTAGTAAGTTGATCAATGGTTGAAAGTAAAGAAATGCCCCCTTACCAAAACTCTTGCGCCGTAAATTCCATCATACTTGTATGACCGGATCTGTAACGTAATTGGCCTAAGATTAAAACGACGTCGCTACAGCCCTGCAGCTTATACTTCTACATACAAACAGACAGACGAACAGATAAACAGGAACCAAGTTAAGTACGTGATGTTCGGAAATTTATTCTTCTGAATCATATTTGTATTTTTTAATTTATCTTTCTTTTTAAACGATGAATATATGGAAAAGCATTGAAGCATTTATTTCCTCAGAAGTACGTTGCAAAATGAATTTCAGTTGGAAGTTCTTTTGAAAAGCGAGTGCTTGATAATTAATACTGCTTATATAAGTTTTTGTCAAAATGGAATTCTGCAAAATATAATCATTCCTCGTTACTGCATAATGAAATTAATTGATAAATAAATTAAGGTGAATCCAGTAGTATACATTGAATATACTAGTACCTGTGATAGCTTTTCTTTGTATGAGACAGAGCGGGAACGCAAGAAATAACAAATCAAACAAAATTTACCTCAGGAATATACAGCAATGTTTCATTGCTTGCGATTTCGTTCTTCAGCCAGTCGGAAACTGAGCGCGCAATCTTCTGCCTACAATTAAAAAAAAGTACATCAAATCATCAAAGAATGAAAGAGTAATATCCGTAATTACCATTTCTTGTTCTTAAATTGCATATCTTTTCGCAAAGACCTTGGCTACTTGTCGGTTTCTAATTGATCACGTATTAAAATTTTCCATCTGTGCCTCTGTCTTCAGGAGAAATTTTATGAGCTTTTGCACATTTGTAGGGATGTTTACTCATCGGGGAACCATAAGATAGATGCAAAGCGATCAACCTTGATTGAATTTGATTATTATTCTTTGAATAAAAATGCCTCATGATGAGATTCCTAGTTTTCTTTATTTATAGCATCTCGACAACCACATCGCTGGAATAACGCACGGTTCTCATTGGTGAATAATATCACTGCTTTGTAGGAAGTTGCCATAGTATTTAATGCGACAACGCTAAGCAGATTTCCATCAGAATTTCGCTTCCGCATTTCGCTGTGCTTCGTTCTTCGGCAAAATATTTTTCTACGACTGATCGGAGTGAGAATCAGGATGAGTTGCGACCCTCAGCCAGAAATGCCCGAGGGGTATCTTGGGCCCCAGGAGCGATTTAATGAACTTGGACTTAGTGTTCTGTCCCATACGGACCCGGTTGTCGTTGCTAGGGACAATCATTTTGAACTTAAGCTAAAAAACCGTGGACCTGTTAAGATAACACACCAACTACAGTTCTGCAAGGATGAAAGGGACTTCTCGGAATATGTCTTCACTCAGATCAAAGATGGTAATATTACCTTTCTGATTCATTTTCCTCAACCAGGCTGGTACAAGTTACAAATTTACGCTCTTCCACAGTCCGATCCCAGCAAGTCCTTGCCTAATGTTTACAACTATCTTCTACATTGCACGAAAGCATTAAATCCCGCATTTCCATTTCCGAAACAGTATGTTCAGTGGAAAGAAGGATGTTACCTTTACGAGCCTTTGAATCTCTGCGAGTCTACAAGATTAACTCATGTCAAATGGCGGGTATTGGTACCTCATGCAAAACAAGTAGCAGTGGTGGTTGACGAGGAATGGAACCATCTAGAAAACAAAGGAGGTCCCATTTTCGAAGGAACATTTAATCTGAATCAATATCGAGGAAAGGACAAAAAAGTTACGCTCAACGCAAGCTTCGGGGAGGATGAAAGCAAATATGCCACTTTGTTAGAGTATCATATTAAGTAGACGTTTTATAGATACTATAGGGAAAAACAATTTACATATTCAAAAGTACGTGTTTGCTTTTTATATATATATATATCTAGACTGATACATTCATTTGGTGTGCAGTGACTTGAAAAGCTAGCGAAAATCACCTGAAGCACGACAAAAGGCTGCTACATTTTTTTTACGGTAAGAATTCAGAAACAACTACTGGAGTTCAAGAGTTTCTCAATAGCACATTATCAAAATTGAGTACGGTATCTTCTTTCGATTTCTGAATTGTCTCGGATATAACCCTTTGTATAATCATGTAATATGTCCAGAGCTAGTGATATTTCTTATCAATCTGTTTTCAGTGTTTTAGCATTAGTGAGGTTGGCATGTTTTATATTAAAGATTTTCATGGTATTATTTGCATGTGTTTTAACTTATTTACCGTCCCATTCGAGATTTTTTCACTTATTTAGAGATATCACCATAGAGTAAAGTACTCCATATTTAAATCATGGCTGTTGAGAAGTGAGGAATCTTTACCCTACCAAAGCCTTTAATGAGGGGGGACTCTTTTTTTAATTGCTTCCTATTTTTATCGACTTTGGTCAGAGCACGGTGGAGATTCGAACCTCACGACCTTCCGATCACTGAGAAAGCGATTTACATAAAAAGGGATATACCATAAAAAATGTGCTGTTTTAAAGATGCTATTTTTATAGTCATTTATTCAATTAAATTCTGATTACTTGTAATTTATTAAATGAAAGTTACAGTCAGAGAGAGATATGCAGAAAAAGCATATACGTTAATTATACAATTGAAATGAATGAAAAATACATATTTGGATGCATTCCAACTAAAAAAAGATAAAAATGTTTAATTTACAAAAAATAACAACTTCTCCAAGCTTTAAAATAATGTTTGTATCATAAAATTAATTTTCTTAATGGAGAGCATTAAATTCTTATAACATATAACATTCCGAAAACAATACGGATCACAACCTGATTTATTTAATTTTATGATATAAACACGCACACAACAAAATGAAAACATTCCTTCTTTAGGATATCACCGCGCCCTAGCGGAGTAATCTGGTCGTTCTATAAAGGTGCACTTTATCTTAAATTTTCAAAACAATTTGAACCCTTCAATTTTAGCTCTCCAGGAAAATGATTACTCCTCAAAGGTGTGTAATAACATTTTATAAGTCAGATTTTTAAATGTTTAAAGAATGTATGAATGAAATATCGCAGGCAGAATATTTTGCCGTTCAAAGTGTGTTTTGGTATTTTCAAAACATTAAAAACCATCGAGTGCAATCAGTTGTGATAACACAAATCTGATCCACCTCAAACCGCAATAAAAAAGATAGTTGGAATATTTCTGTTTGTAATACGTACTACCAGATGTAAAAGATATTTTTTTGCATTGATCTGGTATCGATGCCTTCTAGATCCAGACAAATGAAAAGAGATCAATTTCTTGATTACCTCTCTGAGAAGAGATACAGCTTTTCAAACCACCAATCTTTTATCATGTGTAAATATAAATTTAACATCTTATGAAAATGGAAGAGCGCCGCAAGAGGCCATTCATCTGTTTTACAATCTTTCGAGCAGATCTTGGAAAATATACAACCTCCCTTCATCCACGTCAAACTTTAAGATAAAATATTACTTTCAAATGTTAAATGGCTTAAGACAGATCACAAAAATCTGGGAAATACGCTAGACAAATTAACCATATCTTATCCCATCCTGGCAGGGTACAAGCTGGCGATCTGATCATTAATTGGGGTGTTATTTTTAGGATCCATGTAAAAACTTAATTTAAATTAACAAAAATGTACATGTTTGTATAAACCAGCTCCAAATTTGGCGCGGAAATCTGAATGCTGCATTGCTATCCTTGATTCATGTCATTAGCCACAAGAAATTTGCTGTCACTCGATCTCAGGTTGATTCGCTTCCTAGAACCCTGTTTTTTGCTGAGATACCTGATTTTATCAATAAAGGAACTGTGTAGGGTATACTACCAGGAAGCGCTGATGTTTTCTTCGGAGAACAGCAAAAATGTCAAAACAATTACATCACGCTGAAAGGAAAATAGTAATGAAGTCGGGTAAAAAGTACACAAACAACTATTTGCTTCAGTTCCATGATGTTTTAATGTGGTCTCCTTGCGTCATGGAAAAGCGGCATGGAAATCGCTGATAGCGTCAATCTCTTGTTGGCAAAATAGCAAACAAAACGTAACGTCCTTCTTTCTTGAACGATATGCAAGTTTAATAATCAATCACTTTTCTCTGAGTGAACGTGTTTCCAGAAAGATAAGATGCTACTTTTTTTTTTTCATTTTGAATGTTATAACCTTGTTGCATCAGCCATAACCTGTCAATTTCACTTTCATTTTAACATGCCAACATTTTTGTCATACCAAATAAAGCATGCAAAAAGATAAACGTATTGTGAAGTAAAAATTTCTATATGCATTAATTCAATCACATTGAGAATTATTTCCGAATTATTGTAAACAATTATTACATTTTTTTTTAGAAACAGCAATATATATTTTAAACGTTTTAGAAACAGTAATGTAAATGTTATACGTTTTAATAAAAGCATGAGATACAAAGAGTGATTGACATAAAACACGAGGCAAATTAAATAAAATTGCGGACTAAGGAAGAAACTACTACTACAGGTCCCTAATGTCAGTTCCTGATATATATAATGATTTATCAAAACACCCATCGTATGAAGACCAGCGAACAACATCGTGGCAATGAATCAAATGTGTTTGTTCAATTACCACAACACTAAAAACTCTTCAGTAGTAGGCGTTCTTTGTAGCACATGTTCAATCGTTCTAATCATTGAGTTCATGGGTGTGTTAATTTTTAAAAATTTAACCAGACCATCACATTTTTCCCCTTGAGATACTGATCAAAAATAGGCTATCTATATTAATCTCATTTATCATAACTGTCTGAAATATCTTTGCATCCATGCACTATCCATTCTTTAAAACTATTATAAAATTTTTAACCTAAAAAGTAATCAGTTTAATTTTTTTTATGTTTTCCAGATTCCTGTACCTGCAGCAAATACTGGTTGGTTTGGCTTCTCAGCTTTCTACCGAGTCACTTAAGTTTCATTCGCTAACACTTTTCGAGATATGTACATACATGTTTAAATGTAAATAGTTGCTTAATAAAGAAAAAAATATATAGGCCTTTTTTTTATGTATACCCAGTTTTCGTGTTATTTCAAAACAAAAGTGGGACAGGTATTCACAGTGTAGCCAAGTGAAAATGTCATACTGTGTATCAGGGGGTTTATAGATATTTGTTCCTTCTGATTCAAATCATGTGTTCTTAATTCCACATTTAAATCACAACTTTATAGAAACAAATCCAAATTCCTCTGCTTTTATTTGTAAAACTCTACAGAATTTTATTATATATGAATTGAATAATTTCTCTTTCTCTACAATGTAGAAAAAAAATAATACGTATAATTCACCTATAATTCAGATGACACCCCCGAAGAAAGCAAAATTTGAAATTTAGCGAATTCATTTTTCGTAAGGATAATCAAAGACTATCAGCCGTCACTTTTTTTTTATAATGCCACTCCTTTTCGAAATATGTCCTATAAAAGAGATTAGTAAAATTTCTTTTTTTTTCATAGCAACTACACTTAAACTAGATTTTTTAAAATTTCAATATACTACGATTGGCAATTTGAACTTAACCCAGTTTTTCTCATTCCCTTTGGCTAGTACTTCAGCAAATGTACAGAAGAAAAATAACGAACTGCTGAATGAGATTATATCAAGAGAATATTGTAGTCCTAAGGTGGCTTAATCAAAATCATCGAATTGACCTCAAGAACCAGCAATGATTGTATATTTCATAAGAGAATTAAGTCCCATGGACAACTATTTTTTTCCTTCTCTTTAAAGTACTAGTTCTCTGTCAACATCCAAAACATGAATCAGTTCATAGAAATAGCTAATAAATATTTTATTGCTTGTCTATCTTTGTATCTAGTTTTGGACGTCATTTTAGTTTACCATTTTGTTAACTTCTTCCGGGAGCACAGTGCCCATTTGGATTCTTTCAGAAAAAAAGAGATGGGTCAATTACACGTATAGCATTTTCTTGGGGTTTGGTAAAAAGTAAAACATGCATAGTGAATAGCTCCTATATGAGCGGATATGAAAAGCTCTCCATCAGCAAGTTACATGTTTAATCCGTCAACATCAACAACTTTATTACCCCCATAATGACGGACTAGTATTTCTGCAATGCTAGAGCCAGCAATGTCTCACTTGGATTGTACATCCGCATATATACTTAGTCTAGTATATATAGAAACAGAATCAACATACAGTCATTATATTTCTCTGAGGACATTTTACATGTAGTAGTTATTCTTAAATTGCGTTTATTTAGAGATGACAACGGAGTGAGAACTAACAGACACGACTCTTTTACTATTAATGTCATTCGAAATTATATTGGTATAGATAATTTATTTGACTGCTTTTTAATCTAAGATAGAAGATGATTTTTTTTATATTTAGGTGGTTCACCTTTTCTAAGATAGAGAATGTTCCAATGTATGCGGTTACTTCAGTTTTTTTTTTAATTAACTCACCACCGCGTTATTGACTGAAGTCATTGGTAAAAATGAAAAGAATGCATGCGCGGAAGAATGTATCTTGTGCTCTTTCGACAAATAAATCAGGAAAAAGCAACTTCATGTACATGACAGTAACAACATTCTATCTCTTATAAATATTTGTGTATGTAAGTGCAAATAAATGTTTTGAATACAACAAAACAGTAAAGACTTCTTCAAACGAATTCAAATTCATCTGGAAGAAAGCAGTGGTAGAGAGATTTTAAAATAATTCTGTTGTTTCAAAAGTGATACAATACTGAAAATATTGGCAACAAAAATAAAGTTGAGCGTCTTCCTTATAATAAACGAAACATTATCAAACAAAGATAACGGAAAAAATGTACGATATTGCACGCGCTACTATCCACTAGCAATTATTTATGTTGGTCCTCTATTACAAGGGCTAATTTTTTAAAATTGTCCGTCCTTCTGTTCGAAAAAATATCAATTAAGTAAATTGAATTGCTAAAAAATATTAATTTGTTTTGGTACAAAACTCAAACATGCATATGTTTAGAGAAAACCGAACAAAAAAAAAAACCCAGTTCAGCTTTTTATTTGTTTAAAGTGATCAACAAATATAATTCAACATTATAATATAAGGTATCTAATGAACAACAACATTAGCAAGATTGCTTTTAGGACTTTAAACAAAGTTGGATCATATGAATAATAAAATTAAAAATGTTGTAAACTTCAGTATAAGCTTAATTTTGAAACATTCAATACATTATTTTTTGAAGTTTTTGTACTGAGTACATGTATCAGGACTGAAATTCATAAAAGTCACGAATAGTAATTATTCTATTTACTAGTTTGTTGTTTTTTTTTTTTTTTTTTTTTAAATATATACAGATTATATCTTATTCGAAAAATTTCACTTACATTGAGATAACCCCCATTTGCCGGTGAAGGGATTCAAACTTTGAACCTTTTCTCAGCACCGTGGCACGTCCTCTTCCACATGACCGGTTTTCACGTCCCGCAGTTGGTTTTGAAAGGTTTGTCATTAAATTGAAATTTCAACTGCTGCTCAACTATCCAGTTTTCTAGCAATAAGTTTTCAGTGTGTAAAAATTTTGTTTCACTGAAAATTATTTCAAAAGTTATGTCACGTAGATTGAAATTTCAACTCTGCTCTCTGTTTATGGTCTTCAGGCCTGGTTTTGCATTGAGTGACATTTTGTGTTGGTAAGGACATATGCATAAATTTAAAGATAATCCAGATAATTAAATGACTGAAACATTTATTTTTTTTGATATATATTCGTTAAAACTAAATGCCTTTGAAGAAACTTGCACGACAATGATTCTGAATGATGAAAATATAAATGAAACAAACAGTTATCAATCTAAAATGGTCAATGAAACAGTACAAATCCAGACATAGACCTCCAAAAACACCAGAGTGGGAATCAGGTGCCACGGAGGGGTGAGCAGCCCTTGTCAACCGGTCTCTCTAAACCGAAAAATCTGAAGACAATTTGTCGTGAAAATAATGCAATTTGTATGAATATCACTAGTCAAAATTTGGCAAAAATATGTATAGGCCATAGGATTTGTAAAATGGACTTCAAATGAGATTGTTGATGTCCTTTAGCTTGTTTCATAAGCTTATTTTGTCAAAATTTTGCCTCGTTCTGGAAAATGTCCTCGCGTTATACTTAGAAAATGCTCTTTCCAATCATCCGGGAGACAATAACTTCACAGTCACCTGAAAATTGTGTATTTAATGGCAAAATGCCAAATTAATGTATTTTAAAAGCTTTTTATGGTTTTAAATTATATTTGATGTATTTTGAAAATTGTTTCAGGCCAGAAATACAAAAAGAAATTTAAATTTTGATATTCAGAAAAATTAAGTGAAGTCATTGCGAGTTTCGTTAGGGTGAAGCATCCAAATCTACCGTCAATTATCGCATTTATCAAAATAGCAAACGGCACTTGAACGTCTTTTGTGATAAACATCAATTCCGTGTCGGCAGCTTTTCCAACATCTTATTTAAATCTGTGAAAGCGAGAAGATATCATGTTGACATCTTGAAGTATCAAAACCACAGGGATTTATTTACCATATATCTTATGCATGTTGTGAGATATAGTCGTACTTCTAGATTTGATGCAAGATTTAACATATTATCATACCTAAACTTATCCCAAAATAAAATGAATTAATTATATAAGTTAAAGTAAATTAAAAGCTTTATATCATACTAATTATTACAGAAAATAGTCTATCAAAAACATAATAATCTCTACCTTTTTAGAAATGAATACTCTTAGAAAACCTCGAAACAGAAACAAAAAGTCTTAAAAGTACGCTATGTGCTTGTTAGCAATGGATAGATGATTTGATTGAAAACAGATATTTAAAAGTTAAGAACTTGTTAATGATGTTGATTTTTATAGCTTACGGAGTGCTTAACTTTGAAATTACTCTATCGTACAGACCTAATTGTTTTTACACCTGCCTTTTGGTATAATAAAGAAGGAAAATGGATATGTCTAGAAGAGAAATTCCTTGTATCTGACGCGATGCACTGATGATAATGGACGAAATTGGCCGTGTCAGTTTGTAAGATCTGTTTTCTCATTCGGGGGTAAAAGAAGAAAGAAAAACACCGACCAATTATTTAACGAAGTCTCATTTTATTTAACTGCTATCTCTTTTATAAAAATATGACATACTAGTATACATTTGAATATTTATCTATTTATTCCAAACCTAGGGATTTAAAACATTAATGAAACCATTGCCGATTTGTAAACTATTTTTCGTAATTGCGATTCATACATGATTCATCTCTCCAGGTACTAATCAGAATTCTACTGCTTTATCGATGTACAAATATAAATACATGTAGTATACAATTGTATACTATTTAACATGCTTTAGGCTTTTAGTGTGTGTTTCAAAACAGAACAAATTTAATAGATGGGTCAGCAAAGCATAATACACAAGATAAGAATTATCTTCTGTTAACCTTTAGACATTCATCAATTATCTTCCTTAACGACCAGAACGTTAAGGTCTGGGGGCTATAAAATTTAGACGAGCTCACTTTTGATCTCAGTCTCATTTTCCCACTACATATTCCTTTGGTAAAAGTGAGACTAAGACCAAATGTGAACTCGTCTATCTTTTATGGCCCCCATACCAGGTAATCTCGTTAGAGCTGTTAAGATGACATTTTGGAATAGCACTTCTGAGAACAAGAATTGAGCGTATTTGACAGGAGTTAAGCATTTGACAGTATACGTCTACTTGTACGCGTAAACCTGGAAGTATTTTTACAGGTTACATCATGGTCTGTTTAACAAATTGCACGCGTACCGGTATGTGCAAAACGTCATTTCAACACGTCACTTTACAATCCATTGGTATCAAATAGTTCTATGACTTTACTATAAAAGAAACATTGAATGTATAATAAAATCTCATCTTTATACCAAACACCATCTAATTTTATATTTTGTAGGTATTTGTTTTGGCAGTTTCAAATGTAAATATGTCGCAAGGTATCCATTTTATCATATTTCGCGAAATAAATGTGGACTGGTATGTGATCAGATCTTCCCTTTCTGAAGTAAACTTATTAACTTTGATTTAGTCTTTCATGCCAGTTCTTATTTGTATGATATGAAATTAAAGGTGATAAAAATTATAAGTAAATATATAGAGAATATTACATACTAAAATCCATATCATATGTCATATAAGCCCGAGGGCCGGAGGCCCGAGGGCTGATATGGGGTCCGAGGGCTGATGTGACATATGATACTTTTATCATATATTTAAAACACTTAATATGCAAGTTCACATATGGTCATTGATGAATAGTTCGTGCTTGTTTGTGACATTTCTCTTTAAAATCTAATAGAGCCTATTTTAGGTTACTTTTAGACCATTTCATTGAAGAAAGATTTATTATGAATATTAAAATAAAATCAAGTAAATTGACTTTTAAACGTTATACAAACGTTACTTCCGGTTTGAAAAGGATTTTCGGCCCGCCGGTCCGATACGTGATATGGATTTTCGGACCGGGCCGTGATATGGGGTATTGTGACGTCACCCGTATCACACCGTGCAGAATCGATATATTTACTAATAAGTATATGATAAAAGAACTTATATACTGTATATACAAGTATAAAAAGCATACACTTTTCTCTAAATGCCTCGATACCTAAAATTCTTTTAACTAAAACATATTTGTTGGTCAATTTACAACGTGAATATGCATAATTAATGATTTCAATTACAATGTAGATTTCCTGAAAAAATATTTCTTATTGATAATTTTTCCCTTTATAAGATGCTTATATATTATGATAACCATAAACAAATGCATATAACTTTGTGTATTTAGAGACATTTTGTGTTTTCAATTACTGAATTATCAATTTTCAAAATCTAATGATCAGACTACCTTGATAAAATTCAATGAAATCCGACAAAATCTAAAAATAATTTCAAAAAACAGATAAATTCAAATACCTTAATAAATTGAATATTACATGTACATGCAAAAGATACTAAAACATTTTAGAATGCCAATATGTTTTTAACTTAACAAACATTTTAACTGAAGTAAATGAAAATTACATGAAATTGGTATACAAGTAATTTAATTTCTAAACATTTATTTAATATAGCATTCAGATAAAATAATCAAAATCTTTAAGAATGCAAAGATTTTTATCTCTAAATTACAAGAAAATCGAAATCAGTTGTTATTTTACCAGCCAGAACTTCTAACTTCTATTTATTATCCTTGAACCATAAACTATGAATGAAAATAGCTAGTAGTATTTAACACTTAAGATGTATAGATCGAGACGAAGCCCAGAACGCCTTATATGGTAAATTCGTCGAGTTTTGGTCATCTTCGGTTAGTTAGTGCGTCACCCACTCGTATTAAGAGGGTCACATCAAAATACATCATACCTCAATTGTTTCAAGGATAGGAAATTGTCATTTATTGTTTTCCTTCCGATTTTACTTTGAGATATGAACATTAAATGAAACCTTATGGCAGTGATATTTTTTTAAAATATATGACCAGAGGAACTTTTGGGGAGGGACCTGTATTATAATAATACAACCTGTAAAATTTTTATATAGGATATAAATATTTTTTCGTTTTTGACTACTTTTTTTTTTCAAATTTTAAACACACTAAAAAGCAATAGTTTTAAATACCTTATAATTGTATCATTTAAAGGAAAATCCTTTTGTGAGCCTCATAAGTGATGTTATTAGTTTACATCACGTTAGGGTGCTAACGTAGACGGCAAGTGCCTCTAAGGGGTATAAATATGGCACAGGGTATGTATATCTGACAAATAAGAAAACATTTTACAGTAATTAAGCAGTGCTTAATAAGATGGAGTATAGACTACATATACTAAATGTTATAGTTATTGTAACAGTTTTATTTGGTGTGAATGCAAAGAGAAATGTGGCCATTCTTAAATGTGACAATATACGAGTGTAAGTATTATGCAAACATATTCTTAAATTTATTTAAATAGCTGAGATGTTTTCCTTTTTAGTTTTAATTGTTTTTCCATTGTTGTTGTAACTTTGTCATATTCATAAATAGCAATCAATTATAAATATTTTCCTGTGTTTTTAATTATTTATATATGTAAAATTTCCATATATATATATTATTATCTTTATTTAATTCGATCTTAACATGCTTAATGACAGATGATACATGTACAAACAAACTTTTGTCATAATCATTAAAAATAACAATATAAGGACTGTTTCTGTAAGTAAAATAAACAAGTTTAACCGAGTTGTTTAATATTTAATTCAAATTTACACAAAAATGGAATCTAAAGTGAAAAATATTTGTATTAATTTATTTATGGCTGCAGAAAGTCAAATTTTTAATATCATAAACGGTTTACAATTTCTTTAATTATATTTATGAAATTTATAAGTTTTATCATTTGCAACAAGTATAAGGCCCAGAAATATATACCGATCCAGGCATCCAGTTTTTGTTTGTATCATCTGTCCTTTATATATACTTTCCTTTAAAAATTCTTTAATATAAATTTTGAATATCTTTATTATGTACATAAAGTGGTGAAGACATTCATGTCACAAGCAACCAACCATTGATTGTACCTGCCGACTGTAACAAGGGACAAATTCAGTGGCATTTACCAAACAAAGACACGCACCTGCAAGTCCAGTTCCTGAATCAGAATGCACTTCATTGCTTCACTAGTCGATATCCCTCAGCTTTCGCCAAGTACTCTGTGATTTTAAACAACGAAAGCATGACACCATATAGAGGTAAAACTTAAAGTCTTTTCACCCTCACAATTTTAATGGTTTAAAGTAAAAAAAAATTGAATATATTTTCATTTAATAAAGTTTAAATATACCAATTATTGCCAAAAATGTATAGGTCGCCATATTTTTTAAGATAGGAGACGTAAATAAACAGAAGCCTTTGTTAACATAAAAAATTCGCACATTTTTTGTAAACAGTATCATAAATATTGTGTAAAAACTGATTCAAATGCATAATTCTGATGCTGAAAGTTTCCAAATACTTGCTACTTATAAAAATCTTTTGATTTGTGAATATCAGGGAAACTATTTTATTATAGAAGTACAATAATGCCTGAAAGCGAAGCTACTATTTTTGTCAACATTTTTAAAAGATCGAATAATTGATTAAAGATTACCTTAAGATTAAAAATTCTTTTACTTAACAATTTTTATTATTACACCTATGGAAAATCATTTTTTTTTCAAAATTTATTTTTCTATTGGGTATGAATTTAAATTAATTACAGTTTTTGCAAAAACTGACATCATAGGAGGGTGGAATTACCTTAAATTTTAGAATTATTAGACAGTCAATTTTATTGATGAACATTTTTGATGAACAATTTCGTGTGATTCACTAAATGTTTATAAACATCTCAAAATAAAACGGTTATTTTTGATTTTTTTTTAAACAATTTACATCGTTATTGTTTAAATTTGTCACCTGAAAGTTAACTAATTTAATCTATTTATTAAATAAAAGTTTACGTCTTAGATATACAATGAATTAATTCTAAATTGTTTCATTGTTCGTTTTTTATTTCAGGAAACACGCCTTGTTTCTCAGCGTCAAACGTGGAAGTGGCCGTTGCTACAAATCGCAGACAATTTGCCATATTTATTGACTTTGAAACTTGAAAACTTTTAAAGCAGGAATGTGCCTGAAATCTATCCGAAATCCACAAAAATAATACATAGATAACATATACATATAATTTTAATGTGCCTTTGATTTATAATAAAATACACTGATATTACAATGTACATGTATTTTTAACATGCTCTTTATAATTATTAATGTCTCTCTTAATTGAGATTGAAATATATCTCTTAATTATGCCTTAGCATACGCATAGCTGTGATATATTGATAATTAAACAATAAAATCATTAAGATGTTTGATCTTTTCTTTGTTGAAGTAAAAAAAAAACAAATTGAATAAAACATATAAAGCATCATTAATCGATCTGGGCAGTGTATGTGTGTGTATTTGTTAAAAAAGTTTAAAATCTGACTAAACCCATCAGAATATCAAAAGAACATGTGGTTTCACATAAGAAGCATTCAAAGAGAGACAATCAGTGAAAACAAGTACAGATTCATTGCAGTGTGAAAGACCTATTTAGTATCATAGTATACAGCTCAACACACTTTTTAAACTCACATGGTTTTTCTCACAAATTAAGGTCACATTCTTATAATGCAATATTGTGTAACGTGACAACATAATATATTTTAAAAGTGATTTGTAACTTAATTTTGATTATATATTATTACTCTAAACATAATTCAAACATAATAAATGGTTAAGATTTTATATACTCTTGGATGATAGAATATGGCAGTTCCCAAATATTTTTTCATGGTTTCTCATCAATCATGCAGTCGTTGTATCCGTTCATTTTATAGCATACATTTGCCTATGCTTAATACAGAAACAGTGCAGTTAATTAACTTTTGTATTTTCTGTACATGAATATGACAAAAGGCGCAAGATGATAGAAATAGTTTTCATCTGTTCGACTGCTTTCCATCTTAAAAAGATGATATTTTGTCAGGTTAACTTTCTGAAATCTAACAACATGAAAGATACCTTCCAACGCAAGTCCAGACCATAAATGTAAAAGAATGTTTTTCTCAATTCTAACACTTTACTAGTTTGAAAGATAAGCAATATTTTATTATCCTATCCTTTGACATGATTTCTTTATGTAGTTTTGTCACTTTTCGGTACTGTATTTCGACAAAACAAAGACAAGTATGGAAAACATGCAAAGTACTAAAAGAAATACTCATCTGTAAGAAGTCAATTTGAGCATTTCAACTAAACAGTATCAAAGAAAACTCGATTAATTAATTTGTATATACCTATGGTATAACCATACACATGAAACATCATACAATTCATAAACAAAGTCCCTTTTTAAAAAACGGTGTTTTAAAACTTAAGATAATGGATTTGAGTATATGCAACTTTAACATAAAATATTTTATAATATAAAGGTTATGTCTCGTTATGAAGCTCGTTTATTTTAAGTTTTATTGCAAAATTGAAAAATGTGACCTTTACTTGTGCTAAAAAACCTTGTGAGTTTAAAAAGTGCGTTGAGCTGTATATAGTCTTTAAGTTAATGCACTTTGACTAGGATTTTATTTTTTCTCCTGTTTCTACAAGAAATTCTCGAGATGAGAGTATGTTTGACATGTATGAGTCTTATTTTATTTTAGGAATATAAAAACAAAAGAAAACGCAAAATTGGGTCTTCGTAAAATTAAGACAGAACGCTGAAATCAATTAAAACTTTCAGATTTGATTTTATAAACAAATACACGTGTACACACGTTCCAATACACACTAAACAATACAAAACTGTGAAGTGGACATAAACACAGACCCCTTGAAATTCTAGAGGGGATTGCGTGCCTATGTGATTATGCATTTTCTATTTATAAAAACAAAGGGCTAACAACTGGGAAGAAACATATACAAGTAAGTTAAAATTCGACTAAGTGATAGGGTACGCGTATATTTACATACAATGTCATTACAACGAACCTAGAATTAAGGAAAAGCTGATTTTAATCGAGGTATTTGAAATAAAAATAAGAATATGTTTTTTGAAATCATAGGTATCAGATATTTAATTATCCTCATTTTATACAACAGAGGATTAACATTTTTAACGTTGTAAATTTTAAATTTTAAATTTCAACTTAGAATTTTTAGGAATAGTGCGCCAATACCAAAAATCTTGAAATTGCTGTCTCACAATGCTACATATACCAGTGGGTGCTATGTCTATTGCACCGCTATGTCTGTATAAAAACTGTTTGCATTTACAAAAAATGTGATATTATGAAAGTAGTGAATTTATAACATGAAATTTTTAAGAATAAATCAAATCACTCATAGAGAAGTTCATTTGCTTAATTTTTACATGTCCTTTGAAAGATATCACTGAGAATTATTTTATTTAGTGTCCAGTCAACAGTATTTGTCTGATCACATATTAAGATTGTTGGTTGATTTGATTTATGCAATGTGACTTGGGCATGGATAATTAGAACAAAAATCGGGGAGAAATACGTTTTATTTCTAATGAGATTTCACAAAAAAGAATTGTAACAACATTCTAGTAAATATATTGACCATGACAAGTTCCAGGCTCTACTTTCGTACGAAAATGAAGGATGGTAGTTCCGACTTTCCAGCTGGTACTACCGGGAGAGCTTTTAACATTGCAGCCATTTTTATTGTTGCATTTTGCTCTTATTCCAATCTGAAAAAAGAAACAGTAAACGGAAAAAAAATGGTTAAAAGGAAATTTGAACAAAAATCGCATCCAGTTTATCAATGTTGACATTCTTTAAATTGTCTAATTTAAGATATAAATCCGCATAAGGATCTTTGTCTATGAGTTTCAGTTTTTAAAATTAGGTACTTTTGATTGTATTCAACAGCAAATAGGTAAAAAGTGCTTCTAAGGAGATGAATATTTTTGTAGAATTATTTTTTATACCACATCCATGGATGTTGGCAATGTTTTGCATGCTCTTCACGCTATGCCCATGTCCTTTACAAGATGAAGAATGATAAAAACAAAATGTTCCTATATGTTAAAGCAATATTCACTTTTCTATTTAAAAAGAGTCATCTTGTTTTGCAGAATGAAAAAAAAGTAGTTTTTGAAAAAATGAAAGTTTTCAGTTCATGATCAGGTGCTATCTTTTATATTAATATAATAATTATGATGAACATTAATGTTTTAATAACCCTCCAATTTTTTAAAAACTTTTCTAAAATTATACAAAACAACGGTTAAACGTTTTTTTAATCTGACACCTAGCTTCTTACCTGAACAAAATTCTCTTTTTCTGTAGGGTTGAGATCAACACACATAGTTTTCTCCCTGTTACTGTTTTGTGCTGCATAGTATGCATAAACCGTCTGTGATTTCCAGCTGCACGGCTTGTTGGTTTCTGGAACACTGGAACAATCTACTCCAGTCTTGTTATAAAAGCACTGGGGGAAATGTACAGCATTCCCACAGGTCCTTGTTCTGATTTCTATTGAGTCATACTCATCAGGAGAGTTAAAGACTGGTTGAGGGTTGTCGTGGTTGGTTTCCTCGACTGCCATAGTGTACGCCACTGTAAGTCGGTAGCTATGTACTTGAAAATTAATTATATTAATAAACTTTATATGTTAAATTGAATACATGTTATGCATACATAATTAAACGTATTAAGTTAAGACACTTCATGTAATTTACTGCACTAATAAAATATACCCAGTCCAATTTCCTCTGACTCAATAGTAATGATTTCCCCGGGTTCTGAGTTCAGTTTGCTCCAAATTTTATTCTGAATGTGCAAATTAAAAAAAAACATATTTATGTGTTTGAATAATATATCACTGATAATTATAAAAGTTAACATTTAAAATGTCTGGGAATTTGAAAATAATATTTAAATATACCTCACTAATTGAAAGAAAATGATTGACGTAATGAATAAATAAGTTATACAATTAAAAAAGTGAGCGGTCCTATCTCAAATTACTTTTAGAAGTCTTTCATTTTTTTCACGACCTTATAAATATGAAATGGTAAAAATTTGACTTACACCGTCTGTAAAATGATTCCCGTTGACATATTTAAAAAAGCACTCCGTGTCAGAAAGAGACTGACATTCATCTGTAAATAATTTAATAAAAAACAATTTTTTTTTTACGTGAAAATATATTTATATCAAAGACAAAAAATTTTTAATGAAGAATATAACGGTGATAAAATATTGATTGGATATAATAAATTGATGAGAGCTGTCTGTGTATATTTGGATTACTGTTAGTACTTGTATATAGGCACTTACAGACATACTGACACCGCCTTCCCCAGTACGGGGCATCACATTCACAGTGTACAGTCCAGACCGAGTCTCCGCCAATACACAGTCCTCCTTTCTTGCAATAGTGTGGGTCTTCGGAACAGTTATCTTTGAATAGAAATAAATATTATCACAAAAGATATGAAAAAAATATATATATAAACAAAGACACCCTCACACAATCACACCCTCTCTATCACACACACACCCTCACATACAGAGAGAGAGAGAGAGAGAGGAGAAGGAGAGAGAGGAGAGAGAGAGTTCAACAAACTAGAACAGGTTTGTCTTTTCTTCAAAGTTAATTCCTCTGGGTGTGGAAGAGCTCCAAATATGGATCCGTGTGCAAAATGCATCAAAGAAAAAATTGACAAAATAGACCACATCTTTCTGCCAAAAACATACAGTGTTCACCGTTGAACATTGACGCGATGTATTTTATGTATTGATTTTTATTAATGCATTTTATCATTTTATGAACCATCCGCCGCTTAACAGTTAATTTCATCTCATATTTAATAGCTTCGATAGGCATTATTTAAAATACATATTAAAGACCTTAATATAGATCCAGACAGATTACTTAAAAAGAAATACTAGTATACCGGTAATTAAGCTAACAAACATTCGTTATTCCAAAGTTTATTTGAGAAACACTAATTTACAATAAATATGCTTAACTCTTGTAATGCATTAAGGTAGGATTCTTCTCTGGTTTCTGACTAGATGAAACATTCAAAGTATATTTGCTTATATGTCTTATATATTGAGGTGTAAGGAATTAAAAAGACCATATTTTTCTTTTCTCATCACAATTGTACAACTTTAAATAGAAATGGTAAACTGCGTTTGAAAACTAGCAGGGACTATATTTTTGGCGGAATGGTGGCGTATGAAAATATCTTCTTTTCTGTCTCGCAAAATTATAATAGAACAATGAATTTAGTTATAATTTTTACACAATCGAAGACTTGGAGAAATTTTCAAATGTAAGTTAGATTAATAATGAGGGACTAAACTTTCAAAATATAACAAATAAATATGATTTTTCAAACAAACTAGAAATTTATAAGCTTTTAAACGCTTCCTATCAATGTGCAGATTTAAGCCAAAAATCCATAAAAAGTATTTTTCTCTCTTAGTAAACGATCAAAACTTTTTGTTTTTGTATCATTTTGTACATTTATAAGACTACTTTATTATATGTGAAAATAAGAAAAAGTTAAATATAGGAAGCATATGAAAATAACTAATATATCCTAAAAAATTAAGAAAAACAGAGAAAATTCGGATTAGCCAATATCCAGTTTAGTTAAATTATTCATGTAAATTTGGTAATATCATGTTATAAATCTGATATAGTAATATAGTTTTATGCAAAAAGAACAATCATTAAACTTTTGAAATAAAGTAAACATGATTTGCAACAGTTATTTTTATTTAATGTCAAGGAAAAAGATAATGACCTTGACCTGACCTATATAAAACGCTTAATTTCACTCTATCACTTACTGTATTGTCTTCTTGATTCTGCATTAATTTTTAAATATTAGAAATATGAGAAGAATCCTACCTTAATACAGCATAATATTGTTTATACTTGATATTATCTGAATGTAAAATTATTTTCCCATTACCATATCTATATTGGATTGCAAAACCGCGTTCGAGTACGGAAGCGTGAAAGACTCTACACTTGTTGTGTTATTACTTTGTATATAGTTTTATATTTAATTATTCTATAAATACATAAAGTGTTATAAATCTTTTATCATACACATATTTTGAATTGTACTAAGATGTTTTTACATAATCAAAGGTACTTTTTTTTGTTCAATAGATTTTATTGCTTTAAGTTTTATCGACTTAAGTATCATATTAATTTTGAAATATCAATCGAAACAAGATATTTTATCATATAAATATAGTACTGACGATATGAAAAAAAAATGATTTTCGAAATCTATCGATATCAATATAAATGAATATTTTCGAGAAAGTAGTCAGAAAATGGTGTTTTTGAATTAACTTCGCGGGGGCAGGCCAATAAATCTTCACTCGGGATTCGGTGAAAGCTTACCTGTGTGTGCCATGTATTTGCTATCATCTACGTTTAAAGGCTGAAGCAAATTCAAACTAGAAATATGTCTGTAGGACATGAATGCCCCGCGCGCCGAGGTTATATTAGTAATGCAACATTCGAATCTGTGTATGAAATTTCAGAACATCTTGAATAATGATGCAGTTTAATTACAAAAAATGTTGATGCAGTTGAAAAGCTCTCATCAGAAATGTATCAGCATATGAAATTGAAAAAAATATTAATGGTTTCTTTAAAACTGACTTAATCACAATTTGATAAAAGTGAGGTAAAGGTCAAATGAAAGGACAAGGTAAAAAATGTTAATGCAGATAAATTGCTTACATAAGTATGTATTAGCATATGAAGTTTGACACTATTCATGAAATGAAGTCAAGGTCAAAGGAAAGGTCAAGGTGAAATGTTGATGCAGTTAAATAGCTCTCATCAGTATGTATCAGCATATGAAGTTTGATAACACTATTTTGAATGGTATCTTTAAAACTGAGCTAAACACTCATTTAAGAAAAGTGAGGTCAAGGTCAAAGGAAAGGTCAAGGTCAAAAATGTTGATGCAGTTGAATAGCTCTCATCAGTATGTATCAGCATATAAAGTTTGATAACACGATCTTGAATGATAATTTAAAAACTGAGCTAAACACTCAATTAAGAAAAGTGAGGTCAAGGTCAAAGGAAAGGTCAAGGTCAAAAATGTTGATGCAGTTGAATAGCTTTAATCAGTATGTATCAGCATATGAAGTTTGATAACACTATCTTGAAAGGTATCTTTAAAACTGAGCTAAACACACATTTAAGAAAAGTGAGGTCAAGGTCAAAGGAAAGTTCAAGGTCAAAAATGTTGATGCAGTTGAATAGCTCTCATCAGTATGTATCAGCATATAAAGTTTGATAACACGATCTTGAATGATAATTTAAAAACTGAGCTAAACACTCAATTAAGAAAAGTGAGGCCAAGGTCAAAGGAAAGGTCAAGGTCAAAAATGTTGATGCAGTTGAATAGCTTTAATCAGTATGTATCAGCATATGAAGTTTGATAACACTATCTTGAAAGGTATCTTTAAAACTGAGCTAAACACACATTAAAAAAATGTGAGGTCAAGGTCGAAGGAAAGGTCAAGGTCAAAAAATGTTGATGCAGTTGCATAGCTCTAGATCAATATCTATCATCCTATGAAGTTTGATGAGAATATCTTGGATAGTTTCTTTGAAACTGAGCTTTGAACTGAGCTAAACGCAAAGTGTGACGGAAGGACGGAAGGACGGAAGACGGACATGACAAACACTATATGCCTCGGCCATATTCATAGCAATTAGCAATTATTTTAAGCAATACGAAGTTAAATCTGATGTGCTGATAGTTTTTTTTTTATTTATCTGATATATTCTATCATGGTTCACTGTTTATATTTTTGAATTCGGTAGGGGCTAGAGGGGGGTCAAGACTTTGGAGATTCACGTTCATGTGTCATATCCTATGTATACCACAAAGTGGAACAACATCAAATATTTATAAAGTACATAGCCAGGCCACTCTCAAAATACAGTTATTTTCTATTTACGCTTAATAAGCGATAGACTATCCCCATACAGAACTCAAAAATATAAGCAACGAACGACAGGATATATCAGATGGAAAAATTACTAGAATTACATCAGATTTAACTTCTTCAAAAGTTAAAAAGGGGAAAGTGTGGTGTCAGCCAAATTAAATAAATGACAAGAAAAAAAGACTTAATAATCCAACTGCAAGTATTATTCTTTATTTGGGGGATATATTAGAGGATCTCTACTGTACTCAGTTTTTTCAAAGCTGAATGAGGGGCAAAAGATACCCCCCTCTTCAAAAGTGGTGATCGGTGCAATGGACCCCTATATGAATTTATCTGTTGATTTCTCTCCATCTCCTTTTTAGCTCACCTGAGCCGAAGGCTCATTTAGTGTAGATTCAAATTTGTTCAAATCATGACCTCAGGGGGTAGGGTGGGGCCAATATGGCCGATCAAAGTTTTACATAGAAATATATAGGAAAAAATCTTTAAAAATCTTCTTCTCAAGAACCATATAGACAGGAAAGATGAAACTCATGTGAAATTATCCTCAGGTAGTGTAGATTCAAGTTTGTTCAAATCAAGACCCCCGGGGGTAGAGTGGGACCAAAGTTTTACATCGGAATATGTAGAGAAACCTTTTTAAATCCTCTTTTCATGTACTTCAAAGCCATGATTAGTAATATTTATATGGAATCTTCCTCAGGTAATGTAGATTCTAGTTTGTTCAAATCATGATCCCCTGGGGGGTTAAAATTTAAGCGCCCCCCCAACTTAAGTTAACTTTCAGTTCTGATCTGAAATGTGCTTTTTTTTCAGGTGAGCACTGTGGCCCCTGGGCCTCTTGTTTCAAAACATTTTTTGAATTTGCTTCATCAAATAATCGTACACGATAGAAAATACATGACAAATGAGCTTTCACTGAATCCCAAGTGAAGTGAAGATTCATTAGAATTCCCGCTTCCGCGAAGTTAATTCAAAAACACTATTTTCTAAATTCTTTCTCGAAAACTTTCATGTATTCTTATCGATATATAACTATATTTTTTTCATATCGACAGTACTATATTGATATGAATAAATATTTTGTTTCGATCGATATCTGAAAATCAATATAATATTTAAGTCTATAAAACTTAAAGCAATTAAATCTATCTATTTAAATCTATTTTAACAAAAGAAAGTACCTTTGATTATGTAAATACATCTTAATACAATTCAAAATACACATGCATGTATATAAATAAGGAGATATTACACTTAAGGTAGAACCTATGTCGGAAAAGTCTTTGTCACAAGACTTTAAGACTTTTCAAAATAATAAATTAGCACTTGCTCATCAATCAGTTAAAAGCACATGACATGTTTCCTTGTTATTAAATGTAGTGCTGCCTGTAAAACTTGGAATGGTAATTACATACTGCGACTTCACATTGTCAGTCATTTTAAGGGGTACTTGTCCTAAAGAGAATGAAATATAGAAAAAAATACTTCTTTAAACATCGTCGTTTATACACTTTATTGACTGAGCAGTATTTAGCGATATTTCTCAAGAATAAATTCTTTTTAATTCAGTTGACATAAAAGATAAGTCTAATTTGAATTACATGTAGGCAAATGAAGTCTATTCTTATTAGTCAATTTTCCACCTTAAATTTGTTAATATTTTTCAAAAAACCTTTGTCAGAAAGTTTTCAATCTTTAATATAATGAAGAACATATCCAAATGATTCTAAAAAGTGATTAAAATTATTAACTTTCAAGACAAACTAACGAGAGATACGTTATTTACCAATTCTACTTTACTTGACCTTTTGCACTTACACAGGATCTAATCTTTAAATGACTGTTTGGGATAACTTTCACATTTAGGATGCAAATAATTTTCAAAAAATTGTATTTTTCTATTTAAAAAGATCAAATTTGATAGAAAAATTGTAAACAAACACCAATTATTCAAAATATACACGAATAATTGCTATATATTATGAAAAAGAATGCACATCATTTCATGATAGACTTCTTCTTCTTCTTCTTTTAAACAAAAAAACAAACAAACAAACAAAAAAAAAACAAAAAAAAAAAAAACAGACTGCTGAAGATTACTTGTTGGTGCGCATGCGTGACCTAAGCTTATATAAATAGAAACTTAATATATAAAGAAAAACATCACAACATTTACACACAATCTTCGACACATTTTTTGACTCAAATACATTTCATCAAGAAATTATTCTATTTAGTGTCAACTGAAGATTTCGTAGGATTTTCGAATTCCCACAAAATAGTTGCATACTATGCACATTATCACAATAAGTTGTATAATTTCAATACATGAGATAGTTTGGGAATTGTTCACATAAAGTCAAGGTCTAGTAAATGAAAGGCACCTACAAGTTTCTCCAATTTAAGAATTGTATTAAGTCATTTAGCTTTAGAAACAAAAATATATAAGTTGAATACAGGTACATATTAAATATATTTTGGCATGATTTTGAATTATATTCCATGAATTTCAAAATGCTTTATTTTCTACAATTTTTATTGAAGCTGTAAAGTAAGGGAGAAGTAACATTATATTAGTTATGACGTCATAATGGATCTAGCACAGGTAAACACATTCATGATTGATGTCAAACGACGTAGATTTTACGTTAATATGTTGATAAGATGATAAAATATAAGGACATTTACAAAGTTATAACACAACAAATGTAGAGCCCTTTACGCCTCCCTAATCGAGTAAATGCTCTACCAAACCCTTTCTTTTTTTAAAAGAACCCTGCCAAATTTCAATATTTTGTTATTTTTTATGATTTAGTAGGCCGCAATTACATCTTCGATGTTTCTACAAGCAATGCTGAGGACGTCAAAAAGATCTGATTCCTGGTCAAAGCTAAAGTAATTTAAGAAGAAATTATTTTTCAAAAGCCCTAAATCGCAAAAATTATTTGGTTTAAGCGTCAATAAGTATTTCGTTAAATCACAAAAGTATTGCGTTTAAACGCTAAAATTTTCGCGCGTTAACGTAAAAATATTATGGCAATGAAACGCAAAAAGTATTGCATTTAATTGAAAACTTATTGCATTAAAACGACATTGGTTTAAAATTAAAAATGCATGAAAAGGATATTTACTTAACTCGGAAACTGCTGCTGCTTCCCCGAAATCGAATTTATTATTTAATAAATACATTAAATACATGTACTTTGTAAAGGTCACACACACACACACATGTATTTCAAATGGGGCTAGATAACATCCCAAAAATAAGTATGTATTTAAAGAACAGCATTTTTCCAAAGTACACGGTATATAGAAATACTTTTTAACTTAATTTTAATATTTGAACTGATATTGAAAGGATGACTGCATTTAACACTATGTTTTGGCTTTTTCGATCGTTTCTGTTTCTTAGTATCCCTCTTTCCCTCTTATAAATTAACTACAGTGGTCTGTCAATTAGACATCCAATTCAAAGGTTAAACATAATAACTAAAAGGCAGAGAATTTTTACGGGATGGTAAATTCCAGGTGAGGGAGGGGCTTATTTTGTACAGGTGTGATGCCTTGGGGGCTAGCAGTCTACCTGTGGTCATCTGTCTCCCAATTCCTATACACAGGAAGTGATTTAATACACAGTGAAATAATCAGATGTCAAACTTTACCTGTGTTGGGGGTTTTGAGACAATTTTGAATTAGAAGTAAAAAGTTTCTCTATAATCTATACACTGTAATGATTTATTTTAAAATGTTTGAAAATACCCTACCCATTTAAAACAATTATGATGATATCATACTATAACTTCATATATTACATCAAAGGTTATTTTAGATGTGTTAATTTAAAAAACCCTCCAGTAACAACCAAATTAGACTTAATGTTTTATTCACCCCCAGGATCCCATCTATTAAATAAAACAAGAGCCTTATTAATCAACTACATTTAATTAAAAAAAATATCTAGGTTTAACCTATTCTTTGTCACCATGAAAAATGCAAAAAAAAAAAAAAAAAAAAAAAAAAAAAACACCAAGATCCCTTGTAAATTCTTATCTAAATAAAATGAAAAATATGTTACCCGTGATTTTATGAATATTTTATTTATATTTCATTTATAGATATTTTCAAATTTAATCATTTCACACAGTGTTGCTCTAAACTTAATAACACTTTCACTTTACGTTACTATATAGCATATTTTAAAAAATCAATATAATTAGAAATTTCATCAGAAAAAAAAGTTTTTAAGTGTTAAAGTTTAATCTAAAAAAAATATATTATATGAAAATCCTTTCAAATATAAATATTATATATAATTCATATAATCATGCAAGCCAAAATTTTTCATTTTTTTGTAATACAATTTCTCTTTACCCTGTTTGGTAAATATCAAAGGATCAAAAGTTAATTTGAAGGTCCCCACGAGTGCCAAACAAGGCGTACAGGGTATACACAGGGACCAGTAAGTAAATGTCAATCAAGTTCCAGCATCCAATGATGGACCTTCATGCACCTGATTGACAGGGCTACCCAGATCAGATATTTGTTTTAAGGCGGTGCTTAAAATCTCTGCCTTTAAATACAATAACTAATTTCATTTTGTTGTTTTTATTGTACTTAAAGCTTTCCAAAAACAGGCAATTTACATTTATCTGCTCTTGATTGAACATCACATCTGTATGAGAGGTGGAACTAACATTGTGAGAATGGATCTAGAATTAGACTGGATGAATAACAATGACATATTAAAAAATACGAAATATCTAATTTCCAACTTCCTATTTATTCTTTATAGCACAATTACATTATTTACTAAAGATTTAAAACTTGTGAGCCCATCCATGTAAGTGAAAAAGAATGTTTTGACTCGACAGTTGACTATTTAACGTGTTCAAACACAGAGTCCTAGATACATGCTACTTATAAGTCACTTGAAGGAATTTAGTATTCAAAAAATTACTTGAGGAAAAATTTCACGTGGTAAATTTTAATATTCAACGTGTCACAATCCTTGCATGGTTACGACAGAGAGAGCAAGTGTAAGAAAAAACAGTTTTTCCTCTTTAAAACCACAAGCGCATGTTTATCTATTAATGTCCTTAAACACAACATTACAAATGCAAATAAACAACTACTGTTAAAAGAACCATGAACAAATATGTGCTAACTATGTATAAAGTTAGTAAAAAAGTGGGCGTCCTCATTATCGTACGGAGATTGAAAAAATTGTATGTGATGACCCCGCCTTAGAAAATACATTCGTACATACGTAAATACATACTTTTATTAATTGTAGATAGGTAAAATTGTAGATTATATGTTAATTTTTTTTCGTTGTTTTACGCTAAATCAGCAATATTTCAACCATATGTTGACAGGATTATATGTACACCATTCCTGCAATTAAAAGAAAAATGTCTGTTTTGAAAGTTTATTTTGATGTAATTTTCGCATATCCTTAAGTGCAGTCATCCTTAGTGTATGACCTACATTTAGTACACATTATACGTATTTATCACGTGACTTTCAAATAAGGTGACAAAACTAGATGCAATACTGAGTTGCAATGTTATTCTATCAATAAATATAAAAGTAAGCTAGTAATTAAGCTTCTCTAAAATAAATCAGTATTTCAAAAAAAAATATTTTTACACACGTCGATTTTTCGTGGATTTCTTCATAGAAAGCATTAACGCTGTTGCATGTTTTAATACAATCTAGTCTGTTTTCCTTCTCATAAATGGGTTAATATCATCGTGTACATATGTTCTGTAAGAGACCCTGACGTTAAACACATTTCTATCTATCAACTTTTTGACTTAAAATGTCTGTATATATTTACAACGTTATGATTTACATGTAGTGATAAAATAGTGAAAAACTTAACACAATCCATCATGGCTTTATAGTGTATTTTTCCGCAATTATGCACGATTTTTATATTAAATACAATTAGAACACATTTAAGAGTCAATTTAACAATATCACAATTGTCATCCAATTTTTAAAAAGGTAAAAATTATATAAAAATCATGGCATATGTCTGTAATTCTCATCGTTATTTTTCTATCTCAGATAATCACACGCAATAGGCCTGTAATAATACATATCCAATTAGGAACTAAATTTACTTTCAGGATGGAAAACAAGGATATAGCTTACACAAAGTTGAAAAATCGGGATTTTGCAATCTGTGTGATCCTGGTTATTTATACGTATATAAGAAATGCCGGATTTTGAACAACACATAATCTGCTTTCCTCAGTGGCAGGTTGTCTGTTTTCCCGGGACCCTCTGAAGATTACCACAATGTCTCACACGCTTGGTATTTTGCTCTCGGTTTTTTGGCTCTCAGTTGTTCGATCTGACGATAGAGGTAAGTGTTATAGTCCAAGACAAACTTCTACTTAAAAAAAATTACACTAGAAGTTTAAATAAGAATATTATCGAAAAGATATCTAAGGCTAAATTTATTGTTCTAATATGGAAAATGAGGCATAAATATTACCAACAATATTCTCTAATAAGAAGAAATTAAAAGTCGATGAAAGCCTTTGTATGAGAAAATTACAAATCAATGTTTTTAGAAAGTGTGCTGTCCAAAAAAAAAGACATTCGAAAGTTTCCAAATAGAATTGTGATTTCATGTCTTTTATTCATCATTAGGTGTCTACTATGACACAGCACACAGAAGCTGGCACGAGTCTTCTGCAAATTGTCAGCAACTGGGAGCCTGGGAAAATAAAGACTTCAGCATTGCAGAATTCAGGGTACCAACACGGCCTTCCAGTTTCCGTCAGAATCAGCTTTTCTGGATAGGGGCAGATGTTCACCAAACCCCATGGTTAACACTCTTAGGTAGTAGTGTGTGCATATCTATAAATTTACGAAAGCCATGAAGGAACATCGGATATTTTTTAAAAAATGTATAAAATTAAACCGAGTTCTCGAGTTATTCTGTACAATCTGTTCTCTCGAATTGACAATATGTTCTCACAGATTATAAAATCGTTCCCTCAAATTACACAATCCGTTATCTCGGATTGTAATTCATTCTCTCATTTTAAACAATTCGTTCCCTCGGAATGTAAACCCTTCCCATGATTTCATTAACATTGTTTATCTGTACATATCAGAAATGGCAATACGTGTTAATGAAAAGAATATTGTAGTAGTTTACATCCTACCTTTTATTACATATTACGGTCCAAAATTGAGAAAATTACATGAAAATTTTTTCAAATCCATATATCATAGTACTGATATATTTGTACAAACAAGTTTTTAAACTCTTAGTTATTTTATATTATAATTATTGAAATACCTAGTTAAAGTAAATGTGTAATTTTTTCCTGCAAAAAATATAGGTTGACTTAGTTATAAAAGAGATTCGGAACGACCGGTTGCTGAAACAAATACATAGAACGCATTAATTGATTCAAATGAAATGGATGGATGTATTCGTATAAATATTTTTATTGAAATTCGAGAGCACAGATTGCCAAAATCATTAGACTGATGTTACAAATCGAGATCTCGAATTAATAATCTGTGAAAACGAATTATGTAATTCGAGATTTCGAATTATAAATCGAGGGAACGAATTGGTAATCTGTGGGATCGGATAATGTACTTCGAGATCTCGAAAAATAAACCGAGGGAACGAATTGATAATCTGTGGGAATGGTTTGGGTATTTCGAGATCTCGAATTATAAACCGAGGTAACGAATTGATTATCCTTGGGAACGGTTTTTGCAATTCGAGATCTCAAATTATTTTTACTTTTTTGAGAAATCGACGTGTCCCTTCATGGCTTTCGTAATGGATGCCTGGTTATGGTATTTTAATTTTATAAAGTTATGTCTTAAAGTAATGACTTTTCCTCTTTTTGTAAAAGAAAATATCCAAATTTAAAATAATCTGCTTAATACATAATTCTTTTAAAAGCGATTAAGCATTTAATTTAATTGAATATGCTTTTTATTCATTGGTATGGAATAGAGATCTAAGAGAGTTTTTGATTTTCTTATTGAAGGATGCTTTGAGACCTTTGATGCTACTGCACATCTTGATTTTGAGAATTCTGCATCTCATGGAAAACGCACATATGACTGTTTTGCTTATTGTGAAGACTACGATGGTATTACGTCAATAGGCATATCGGTAAAAAAAATACTAGGAACAAATTATATCATCTCTCTGGCTCTAATTTAGTGTTTAATATATTTTCCTTTCTGAATTCTTTTTCTAAAGATCACAAATAGAAGAGGCAAAAAATGTAAAACTTGTACATCTTACTTTAAGGTGGAATGGCTTCATAACAACGATTAAATAATAAGAAATGATCTGATAATTTCGTAAAAATGATTTTGTATTTAAGAAAAAATACATGTATATTGTTTGTTTATGGTCGAATCGCCACAACTTGTCGATGGAGAACTGCAAATTTTGACCTCAATGTCATTATTACAAAAAAAATTATTATTACAAAAAAAAATTACCATCATTAAGCGAACATATCCCATTTTCACGACAGAAGATCTAGTTTTTACAAGAAAATCTTATTACAAGATTTATTCGTATAAAATCTTTATAATTTTTTTTCTAAACCATGGATTGATTGTTTTTGTTACTACCAGATAATTATCATAAAAATAGATATCTCTTTCTTTTCTTGTGACAAATTAATTTTTTTTTCTTAATACTTATGAAAAGCGGCAATCTTGTTGTGTAGTAATGAACAACATTACAATTGTAATCCAGAAAATTCAGAGTAGAAATTTTCGAAAGCAAAAAATACGCACTGTATATTATAAGTCCGTGCAGTTGTGGTAAGCAGATTTTGGAATGACGATACTTGAGAAAGTGGATTTGCTTTCGAACGTTAAGAATTAAAATTTGTGAAAATGCAAAGATGTGTTAATCAAACCCGTCCAGAAATTTAAAGTTTCAATAGCATTAAGATGAAATAAGATTTCTTTTTTATATTTTCGACTGAAATGCTATTGCAACATATAAGTTGTGATATTATACAGAAAATTTGAGAAAATATTAACTTCAAATTTGTGTCTATATATGCACCTTTAAGACGTCTTATTATTAAGAGGTTGCTACTTCTAGCTAGATGCTAATGCTTATGCTTATCTTGTAGGAGATTAATGTATAAAACTTAGTTGCTTGTACTTTTTTGTTATGGCCGGAGTCAAATGCACAATAAATAACATTGACTGTCAGCAATAAATCAAGCAGTTTTGTCTTGATCAAAGCTTTGATTCAACTTTTGTTTTAGTATTTATAATAGAAATACTGGTACAATAACATATTCTCCATTTCAATCCGTTTTATCAGAGAAAGAATTGACCCCAAGGAAATATTATCATGTCATACTAGTATATCAGATAACGTGTTATGATTGTTTTTTTTAAAATATTTAAATAGAAAACCACATGTTACTGTTACACCAATCTAGAAGAGTTCCGCAGGGAAGATGAATTGTGCTTTTATGAGACTTTGCCAGAGTACCCCGGTGAACTGTTTGGAGCACCATTGATCGGAAGTGTGGTGGTGTACCAATACAACAAACAAAGTCCATCAACATACGGTAAAACGTTAATTTGAAGGACATCCTCAATTACCAATTAATGAATTATTCAATGATATGATATAAGAGTTAATAATTATATTTTTTCATTTCTTTTTTGTCTCTGTGTTATCTCTTTGAAACTTAGCGGAGTTAATTTCTTGATAATTCTACCGGAATGTAAATTAGGCAGGTCGAAATATCAGGAGATAGGGAGGCCTAATATGCATGCAAATCTCGTGCGCATCTGTCTTTGTGTCTGAGGCTAAGGAGGCCAAATATGCATGAATATCTCGTGCGGCTACCTTTGTGTTTGGCGTCATTGGGTAAGGGCTATGGAAATTGGCAAGAAAGTCCTCGTGTAATTTAAATCTATGTCTACAGTTTTAAAATATAAATTTACAATTTTATTTCACAATGAAATGGAAATATAAGAAATCACTCTGTAGTTCGTATAGTATGCCAGGGACATCAACGATAGTGGGATTCGCCCGTTATGCAAATTATCCCATGTTTCCCACTATCGTTGATGCCCTGGCATACTATACGAACTAGACAGTGATTCCTTAAATTCCTTTACAGATTGTTCGGTGTGAGGTTCTAAATCTCATACGTGTAAATTTTTTTCTCTTTTATTCGAAGTAAGGTGCAGCAAAGTTGTTGTCACAAATATAATTATGACACTATTTAAACTTGTTCTAGCAAAAGATTAAATGGTGTAGTAAAATAAGTTAATACAGGAAAAGTTATGAAAACATTGACTCTGTTTTCCCTTTTTTCAGCCCATGATTTCGGAAATTGCGCTGCTGTGAGATATCTAGGATCACTTCCGCTACATCATCAGTTTTCTTCCTGTCTGAATAGAATAGGGTATATCTGTGCTAGTAAGTAAAGAAATGTACACATATATGATTTATTATCATAAAATAAAGGTAAATAGAAATGATACTTACGTTTTTTCTTACACATAAAACAATGTTCTTACTAGCATAAAACTGTACAAACCAAATGGCTTTCCACGAGTAGGACGGACTTTTTTTGCTGTAAAATTTAAACTGAGTTCTTAAAAGTAATTTTATTTTAGACGGCCAAGTATCAACTACCGAGGTGACCTGGACTGAGGCTGTCAGACTGTGTGGTACTTTGAAGACAGACATAGTTGGTCATTATACAGACTTGACTGATTCTGTCAAATATCGTGCATTTTGGACAGGATTTTACAGACAAAGCTACGAATACTGGAGTCATCCTGGTAAACATGCATCAACATTATAAAAAACTTTTGATTCCTCTTTAAAGCAGGAAATTCCGCTGTATATTTTTCTTACACAAATAAGTTGGACAATGGGTTGTTTATTTCGGCATCTTACTGTATCCAATAAACCCACATGGCTTTAACTTGTCTTTTAAATTTACATACTTGTATATTTACGTTTACAAGAAAATAACCTTTTAATTCAATGTCCGGATCAAGATGGCGATTTGCATCAGCCCCTTCCCCCCGTTCAACATAATGCAATAGTTTTTTTCTTCAATTTTTGACAAGTTATGTACTTTTACTTACACGTCTAAAAAAACTACGATTGACACATTTGTTTAAGTTTGTGCACCCTCCCTCCCAAAAAATCCGTGATCCCTTTCCTTTATTAATAAATAAGTGTTTGTTAGTTATTCAAAGCCACCTACATGAATAATTTCTTATGCAATTGGGACATTCACGTGTTTCATCAATGAAACACACCATTATATGCAGATATTCATAATATAAATTTTATTATGAAAATCAACTTAAAAGTTTAAAAGTAAAGGATCATGAAAATATGATACGTTTTAATTTTGCATTATATTTCATGACAAAGATAAGACATCTACATGTTTTATGTCAGGTGGAGACCTAAGTAGCAACCCAAGACGTCATCACTGTGTAGCAGTTAAAGTGAAGGAGGATGGAACACTTTATCCCAACACTTATCCACAAGATTGCTCAAAGAAATTGCCTTCCTTGTGCGAAACATCAACAAGAGGTGTCATGTCTATGAATATGAATACGTTATTGACAGTTGTATTAAAGGCTATGAATTAAACCATCAGATATAAAAGATAAAGAAAAAAGAAGTTAATTCTTACATACGAAGATCGTATTTTGGAGAATAGATATGAAATGCATTGAAATTAAGCATCATTGGCCGTTTTGTAGCCAAACCCAGAATGTTATGAAAAATACTAAAGATATGATGTAAAATATGTCTGCTTTTTGAAAGTTTAATCACTAGTGGGCGATTTTAAAATAATCATATCATGAATACTAAACATGAATTATGTCGCTTTTTATGAGGAAGATACTTTGTTCCATACATGATATACATGTACTACATGTAAAAATAAAAATCATAAATGAATTGAAATAAAAATATATAAAGTATTTATTTATTGATAAAAAGAAATTCTCTTAAAGTTGATGGTGGATGGGCAGACTGGTCTGAATGGAGCAATTGTACTGAGGTAAATGAAGTGTGGAAAAGATCTAAAAGTCGCACATGTACCAATCCTTCTCCACAGCATGGCGGAGAAAAATGCCAGGGAGTGTACATTATAGAACAAATTTGCACTCCACCTGAAGGTAACACTTATATTTTGATCATGAACGGTCTCTAAATATAATTAAAAAATATATAGGAAAGGATATTAACATACTGGATTGATTATAAAATCGAAGAAAATTTATAATGTAACACATTCCGCTCGGTTCTTAATTAATCAGATAATTGCTATTTGATGAAATTATAACAGTCAGTAGATTAAAGAGAACATTTGATATTCAGTGTAACATTGCTCAGAGTAGAAATATGAGTCTTGATTACAAACAGATCCTGTAATTGATAAAATTGTAGAGTAATAATGTAATATGTAATAATAATCCTTTAGTATTTAGTTTCCAAAAGGAACGCAAAAAATCTGTAACACCATAACATCAAAAAAGATTGTAACATTATGTTTTGAATGATAAGAACCATCATAATTATAGCATGAATACTAAACATGAATTATGTCGCTTTTTATGAGGAAGATACTTTGTTCCATACATGATATACTACAAGTAAAAATAAAAATCATAAATGAATTTTAATAAAAATATATAAAGTATTTATTTATTGATAAAAAGAAATTCTCTTAAAGTTGATGGTGGATGGGCAGACTGGTCTGAATGGAGCGAATGTACTGAGGTAAATGAAGGGTGGAAAAGATCTAAAACTCGCACATGTACCAATCCTTCTCCAACATGGCACATGTTGCACTCCACGTCCTTATATTTTGATCATGACAGCATGGCATACTGGAAAAGATTTATAATGTAACACATTCCGGGAATTATTAATCAGATAATTTCTATTTGATGAAATTATAACAGTCAGTAGATTAAAGAGAACATTTGATATTCAGTGTAACATTCCACAGAGTAGAAATATGAGGTAACACTTTTATTTTGATCCTTTATGAACAGTCTCTAAATATAAATAAAAAATATATAGGAAAGGATTTTTGTTCCATACATGATATGCTACAAGTAAAAATAAAAATCATCAATGAATTTTAATAAAAATATATAAAGTATTTATTTATTGATAAAAAGAAATTCTCTTAAAGTTGAAAATTCTATGGATTGATTATAAACATGGTCGCTGAATGGAGCTGTCTGAATTTTAATAAAAATATATAAAGAGGTAAATGAAGGGTGGAAAAGATTCAAAACTCGCACATGTACCAATCCTTCTCCACAGCATGGCGGAAAAGATTGCCAGGGACAGAACTTTATAGAAGAAACTTGCACTCCACCTTAAGGTAACACTTTTATTTTGATCATGAACGGTCTCTAAATATAATTAAAAAATATATAGTTTTAACACATTGATTATAAAATCGAAGAAAATTTATAATGTAACACATTCTGCTCGGTTCTTAATTAATCAGATAATTGCTATTTGATGAAATTATAACAGTCAGTAGATTAAAGAGAACATTTGATCTTCAGTGTAACATTCCTCACAGTAGAAATATGAGTATTAATTACAAACATATCCTGTAATTGTTTAAATTGTAGAGTAATAATGTAATATGTAATAATAATCCTTTAGTATTTAGTTTCCAAAAGGAACGCAAAAAATCTGTAACAACTTAACATCAAAAAAGTTTGAAACATTATGTTTTGAATGATAAGAACCAGCAAGCAAACCAAAAAACACAATCAAACCTTTAAAAAAACGAATCATGGCAAACTCTCTATCTCTCTCTCTCTCTAGAATTTTTCACCAGTCCTTGGTGAAGGGTTTTGTCGTATATGTGTGCATTAGGGAGGGTGTGTGTGTGTGTGTGTGTGTGTGTGGGGGGGGGGGTTATAATTTACAAAGTGAAAATACAACATTTCTTTGAAAAAGTTTTCTACTCCTGCAAATCAAGCCATGCAACAATCTTAGTGCACAGTTAAGATAAGTTTTTCTTCCAAATGAATTTCAGGACGTTTTTTTTGAATGACACGTCCTTGTACATTCACAAAATTAACTTTGCCCTTAATACTTAATAAAAGAAGAAACTTTGTTGTGTATTAATGAAAAATATTAAGTGCTCAGTGATCGAACACACCCGGCGAAACGTAAACATTAACAATAACAATAACTTTAGAAAGCCACTTAACATTTCACAGGTGCAAAATTTGTTATAATAAACTCTGAAAATTCATAGTTTCAATAATTTTCAAATAAAATATGTTTGTTATTACATGTCATTACATGTCCTTTATTTATAAAATTTTGCATCATTTTTAAGATCTAACATTAAATCTGAATTCTACAATGCAAATTGAACTATATTCAATGAAAAAACTGCGATTAAATTCCATTCAAGTAGAATTAAGCTAGGGATTTTGTGGCGGAAATTTTTAAGACGAAAATGATCAGTTTTCCCCCTTTGAACAATAACAGTGCTTTTAATTTTGGATTCCTATTTCTCCATGCTGGTTGCACACAAAGCTGTTTTTTGCAGTAAAACGTGTTGTGCTGGTTCTGAAATATCTAGTAAATTATTTCTTATGAATTCTTTCAAAAAGTGTGACAAATATAGTAAATATATTCTGAAAATCTGGGAAAAAATTGAATCAATTTTAACGTAAAATTGACAATTTTTATGTAATATTTGAAAATTCATATCATAGACCCCCACTTTTAATGTTCTTTTCTAAATAATCAAGATAACTTTGACCTATTTGCTCAAAATCAGAAAAAGTTTAAGACTTTAAAATAATTTTCTTCCTTATTAAATTTTCAATGCCAGAAAATTCACTTTTATTAGTGCAGAAAGGTCAAATAATTGATTATGCGAAGCAATTTGAAACTTTTTCTTAATCACAATTTTAAAGTGTCTTTTTTCAAACAGACTTAGAGTTCATTTTGTTTCATGCATCAATTGGATAAAAATATTGAAGGGAAAACGTCGTAGATGTAATTTTTAATTAGACACAAATTTCAGTGCAAAAAGGTCATATTAAATGTACTGTAGCGCCAAAAGAAGCATGTTGACCCGTGTTTTTTTATTTGAATTTTAATCAAACTATGTATGTAGAAACTAAAAAATATACTTGGCAAAAAAAGTTTGACTTTAAATATCAGGATCGAACGTCGTTAAGGTCTTTATTTAATAACTTGGACTACTTTGAGAGGAACAGTTTAACCCTTCCTTATCGTGGTCCTCTGGATCCGCTGCTTTTTTTTTTTATTTTTCCATATATTTAAAAAAGAATGATTAATTATTTATCCATTATTGATCTTTGACATGCTAATTGCTTCCATTGTCTAATTAGTTATTCATCCAATATTTATCTATCTTTTTTAAATTAATTGTCACTAGAAATTAAATAATATTTCTTCTTTCTTTAACAGATGGGCCATAATAGAGGAAACAAAGTCGAAATTGTGTGAAATGGTGAGTAAAATACAGGAGGGTAATTACATTTAACACAGAATTTTTTTGTTTAGTTATAACTTGGCTCAAGAACATTGAATGCCTATTTCAAATAAATAACCTACAAGTTTGCTCAATAAAATCCGGTTCTGCAAAAAAAAAAAAGCTAATGTAGCTAATGTTTTTTTATTATCCCCGACTCAAGACTCAGGAATATTGGACTTTTGCGAGGAGCGCTGACTTTTACAGTTGACTTGTTACGTTGACAAAGGGACAATATACTGAATCTCCTTTTTGATATAAATAATTATCTCAACACTTATATCAAAGAATATAATGGGTTATTTCAAAGCACTTATAAGTTTTCCTTGAACTCAACTCCCGGTCTTCATATGTTAGTGCCCTTATCACCATACCTTTGACCACTAGAAAAAAGGTTTGGTTATCTATTATTAATTCTGTACCTCCGTGCATGATACTGGTTTATATGTCCAAGTAAACCTTCAACTGTAAAAGTCATTGCTTCTCGCAAAATTTCAAGTCCATTGTTAACTTGTTGGAAAAATATATCAAACCACAAAACAATGGGGAACCTATTGTATAAGAAAGGGAAGTTAACAGTAGAAAAAAAAATTTTCACGTTTAGCTTCATTTTCTTCAGATATATCAGATTCTGTCAATCCTTCAAAATAAGTTCAAACGGATATATCGAATTACCGTTAAATATAGGAATGAAAGTGAATATGTTTATTGAGAAAATATTGTTGATATTTGTCAATGTTGAATTGAGAACCACAGGAAAAGACTTCTTTTTTTCAAAACAACGTAAATGTGATCAAGAACATGGATACATTTTTTTCATCAAGATACTTTTATAAAATTAGCTACCTTTTCCCACTTTCATTTAAAAGATAATAAATGCTGAAATAGAAAGTATAACCACCTTTTTCAAAAACTGAATTTTTCTTATAGAAATCTGTTACATGTTTTATTGAAATTAAAGGAAAAAACAACTTTTTGATCAAAGTTTCCTTTTTTAGGAATTCAGTGGAACATCGGATCGACCGGAGGAATATTTATTGTAAATTGAACAACTTTGTAAATAGTGCACTAAGTTATGCCTCTTGTAAATTTTTCGGTATTTAAATGAAATGCAAGGTAGCATTTTACACCACCTTCAATTTTGAATTGAAACAACCTTATTTATCATGAATTGATTAATTTGATTATCTGTAACCTGTCATGTTAAGCAATATACATATCTTGATGTAAAAGTTCTGAGCGATCAAATGATTGATTTTTTAAACATGAAATGATTGACATATGAAATAAGTAATTTTAGAATTGCATCAAATACTCACAAAATTGTCTATAAGGCTCTATGAGATGTCGAGTAAGAATTCTTGCAATTATTAAGAGCTAATTAAAGCATACCATTATAATGTGAGACACCGGAAGACCAAATACTGTAGTTTTATAAAATAAAGTTATAAAGTAATATTTAAGTTTTTTGCATGTTTAAAAATGTCTTATCTGTACATTAACTGAGGTATAAAATACAAGTATTATAATTTCTGTTGATTTTCTTGTATACAGTATATCTGTTGCATTTGTTGCTGGAATTTTGATACAAAAGACCGGTCAGCAGGGGAGGATCACTCCTCCATGGCACCTGATCCCACGTCTGATGTTTCGGAGGTCCGTGTTTGCTCTGCTCCTATTTTATATTGTTTTATGGACTTTGATATTGAATACTGTTCGTTATCTCCATATCCTTCCTCATGTATCAAAAAATCAAAATAACGATTTTCAAAAAAGAATTATAACATATAATTTTGTTTTTCCATACTTATAGCATCAGAATAAAGGATTACTCTACGATAGCTTTGTACCTTTTTATCTACAAATTCAATTGCGTATGCGAAAATTGGAAAAATATTGTACTTAAGCACATTAAGGTATTAAATTCAAACATAAAAGGGTCATGTACATTCTAATGATGTTTGATAATTTTTTTATTTGTAAGGAAAACAAAAAATTTCAACTATTTTGAAGACATTAAACTCAAAGATATACAAAGAATATTAAACAAGATATCACTCCAAATCTCAAGAAAAATGGAAGAATTTCCTGCAAATTGAAATTACATGGGAAAGAATTTGGGGCTCAATTCATGAAGTTAGATTAAAACAAAAGATTCAAGAATTTCAGTGGAAAGGTTTGCATAACATCTCATACATTGAAGAAAAATTAAGCAAATTGGGTTTCTCAAATGATAAATACTTCTTCCGTAAATCAAATATTAAGAGTCAGAAACATTTATTTTATGAATGTAAACATGTCAAAACCAATTTTAAAAGTGGTACAAAATATAATGTTAAAACTTCCTGTAGTGAATCCAATCAAATCTGATGTATGTATTGTTTTATTTGGATTCGCTGGAGAACCAAAAAATGTTCGAATTTGTATTAACACCGTGATTTATATATACAAGTGGTCAATATGGAAAACAAGAAACAGCATCAAGTATGAAAACAGAAATATTATTACTTAAGTATTCTTGAAAGAATTCAAGAAAGAAATGAAATTAATCTTTCAAATCTAAAGAAATAAAAGAGCAACTTCAACAGAAATCTAAAATTAACATAAGATATGCTAACTGGCTTCGGTTAAGTGTTACCCGTTTTCCTCAATACAGATTTAGATAAAAATACAACTGTGATCTTATTTGATTTATATGCAATACAACTTAATTGTTATACCTGTTCATTGTATTAGATGTAAAATTATGTGTGACTTTGTATTTTAAAAATAAGGCACCCTGCGTGGTGCTGTAGGGCCTACTATTATGCATTGTTACAGAGGGAGCTTAGTCAGGGCACCGTCCCTGGCATCTGCCCTACCTATCAATAATTTAAAATTTATGCAAACTTTCTCCCACGAAATAGACGGATTAGGAATACTTTGACCTTCTTACACGATATTATCAAACATGATTACATTTAAGAAATAGTTAACAAGTTAAAAAACTTTATTAGGAAATGAAGAGGGTTAAGTGTCCTAATCTCCTGAAGAAAACAAAATTTGACAAAATTCCTCAAGGAGTAAATTGTCTTACAAAACGGTTACGCTTTGAAGTCATTTGAATTCATCTGAAAAAAAGGGTGGTAATATTTTGTGAAATGTATCTTGTGATCAATGATAGTGAGAATATTTTTGTCTAATTTTTTTTATTCTCTTGACAACCAATGTGAAATGCCATAAACGCACTAGAAATACGTTCGATCTTTGATGAAAAGTTGATGAAAGTTTGAAGATTTTCGTTCGGAAATGTGTGAAGAAACTAGTTCGAGACAGTTAACTTGAAATCAAATACATGTGTAACTTAACAATTTCACCAAAACAGTTATCTACGATTTCAGTAAGACATATGAAATTAATCATATCATATTGTTAAACCAATGAAAACATATAGGATTAAGAAAGGACATTTTATTTGAAGAGTTTAAACTCAAAATATACGCATATCATATTTTTTGTCGTGTGAATTTCAGAGAAATCAACTGTCAAGATTTGGTTTACAATGCAGTTTTATCACGTGGACCCTTTGTCACATTAAAAATCCCCATATTATGATATTGTTGACGTATTTTAATTTTATGTAAATATCCCTTGTGGAACCCCTTTGTTTTTAGACATGTTTTCACTGTATACACCTTTATTGAACCTAAATTCACTGGACCTTTAAACCCGCCAGTCCGTGCAAGATAGTTTGGACACGGCAGTCCAGAGAGGTGGACGCTTTTACCCCTCTCTCATAAATGTAGATATCTGATATATTTTGTAATAAGAAATTATAATTACACCGAGTACCAGTATTACTTGCAGGGCTTCCTCTGTATTTCCTGTATGTTATGGTCCAGCTTTTCTGAGGTAAGGTTTATGTTTATAATTTTATCTTTATTATTTTCATTCTGCATTCATTTTGTCCTAAAACATCCAGTAACCGCATTTCTCATCATTTTAAGCTTGTATGTTTCGTTTATAATTGTATTTCTATGTATAGTAACACGTATTTGAATATTTCTAAACTATGGTGTACAATTTCCGTCATAAAAGTTTGTCCGTGTAGAAGCAATTCACAATATTGCATTTGTGTAAGAGTTGTATGCATAGTTTAAACAACTCGTTTGTGTAATTAGTCTTATCTAAGATGTGTACATTATCCACAAGTTTGATGATGAGTGAAGTATGTATTTGTGTCAAGCCACAAGCGCTTATCAATAAAACTTGTATATGTATGTTGGAGCAGGTTCCATCTATCCATGGTATAAGTTTATTGTAGTGAGTCAGCCTGTTCCAAGTGGTGCGTAAAAGGGAAACAACCCTTGGGCCCTTGAGTTCCTCTAGCCAGTATTGTGGAAGGCGGTAGCACGACGCAATAGGATAAGCAGCAACGGACTTTGTTGAATTTGTACACTTATTGTAATTAAATATGTAAATTATCTTTAAAAAAAGTATTTGAGTTATATTTAAATTTAGTAAAGTAAAAAGAAATAGTAAATCCGCTCGACAATTGGTGACAAATTGGTGTCAGAAGTGGGATAAGATTCCCTAAGAATATTAATTTCTTGTTTTATGTAACAACCATCCAAAGTTTTCAAAAATATTTTGTTTAATTTTGTAAAGTTAAAAAAAACTGACATTTTTCTCTTCTTGTTGAAAATTTTCTCTGCTTGGTCAATGTTTTCTACATGCTGTTTTATTTTGTATTTTCCCATTTTCTGTTGTGTTTGTTCCATGTTGTAGAGAATCAGCCGGATTCTGGTTGTTTGGGACCTCGGAAAAGTGCTAATAGGAGTTGGACCTGTCTCAGTGAGTTAGACCATTCTGGTAAAGACAGAGTAAGCAATGGTGCAAGTCGCGTAACTGGATGTAAAGAATATCGCTATGCGGTTAGTAAGTGCTTTGCTGGTTTTAAGGTAGTTAGAGGTGAAGTGAGGTTCGAATCAAAATTTGTTCCATCACATGTGCTAGTCATGTCTGATGATTTAAACCAGTTGAAATTATTTGGGGAGAGTTTAGGTCTCAAAGATGAAGATCTCACAAATTTTATTAAAGAACAGCAAGCTTTACGGAGAGATGAGAGACAAGCACAGAGAGAGTTAGATAAGATAAAGATAAATTCTCAGACTGAGGTTGAAAAAGAGAGACTAAGTTTTGAGTTAGAGAGAGAGAAAATGAAAAATGACAATGAGAACATGAAATTAGAACAAAAGCCTATTTTCTCAGACGAGTCAAAGTTTACAGTTGGTCATGTTTTGCCCAAAACACCCAAACTCCCTTTCTTTGACGATTCTCATGATGAGATGGATAATTTTCTCCTTAGGTTTGAACGATATGCTGAGGCTCAGCGTTGGGATCATTCAAACTGGGCTATAAATCTTAGTGCATTATTAAAGGTAAAGGCTTTAGATGTGTATGCGTTAATGCCAAAAACTCATGCCCTTGACTACATTACTCTTAAGACAGCTTTATTGAAACGGTTTGAATTGACCGATGATGGTTTTAAAAAAGAAGTTTAGATCATGTAGGCCAGATCAGTGTGAAACCTTTTCTCAATTTGCTGTCTGATTGAGTAGTTACTTTGAAAGGTGGGTTGAAATGGCAAAGGAACCCAAAACATATCAGCGTTATTGCCAGTCGTGTGACATATGTCAACGCACAGTTCACAAAGGTAAGGTACAGAAAGTGCCATTGGAGCGAATGCCACTCATAGATGAGCCCTTCCAAAGAGTTGCCGTTAATCTTGTTGGACCACTTTACCCAACCACGAACAAAGGTAACCGTTATATTTTGGTGGATTATGCTACTCGCTATCCAGAAGTTATTGCTTTGCCTAACATCGAGACAGAGAGAGTTGCTAAGGCCCTAATGGAGATGTTTTCGAGAATTGGTGTGCCCCGTGAGCTGTTGACAGATATGGGAAGCCAATTTACATCTTCTCTAATGTCAGAGGTGAGTCGACTTATTTCTCTTCGACAATGGACCACAACACCATATCTTCCGAGCTGTAATGGGTTGGTAGAACGTTTCAACGGAACTCTGAAACAAATGTTGAAGCGACTTTGTTCTGAAAGACCTAAAGATTGGGACAAGTACCTGAATGCAGTTCTGTTCGCCTATAGAGAAGTTCCACAGGAGAGTCTTGGATTTTCTCCGTTCGAGCTTGTATATGGCCGATCAGTTCATGGACCAATTTCGATCTTGAAAGAGTTATGGACCAAGGATATTGCAGATCCCAATGTGAAGACTACTTATCAATATGTCCTGGATCTCAAAGACAGACTTCAGTCTATGGCAGATTTAGCCAAGGAAAGTTTAGAAAAGTCGTCTACCAGGTATAAAAAACACTATGACAAGAAAACAAGGCATAAAAGTCTAAAGGTAGGAGAGAGAGCATTAGTTTTATTGCCAAATGATAACAATAAGTTATTGCTTCTGTGGAAAGGACCTTTTGTGGTAACTAAAAAGGTAAACAGAGTAGATTACCAGTTGGATGTTCAAGGTAAGACCAAATCGTTCCACATAAATCTGTTAAAGAGGTATGTTGAGAGACCTACTTCAGACAAGGTTTCGATGACATGTGATGCAGGTGTACTTGGTTTGGTTAAAGCATCGGTGGTTGATTGTGTAGATGATGAAAACCAAGAAGGCCAGCTAGACGAGTATCCTCAATCAAAGGTTAGTGGAAGTAATGTAAAATTAAACCCTTCATTATCAACAGAGAACAGGGATAAGTTGTTGAAATTGTTGGGTCAGTACAGTGATGTTTTCCAAGACAAGCCAGGTCTTACAAATGTCCTTGAATATGACATAAG